CGCGGCCGCCGCTGCGACTCGCGGCTCCGCCACCTCCGCCCCCCCTCGGGCACCCCCCTCCCTTAAAGCCGGGCCAGAGCCACGCAAAACCCGGCCCGGAGCTACGGCGGCGCGGAACGGGGGGAGGAGCCGGGTGGGCGGCAGGAGGCGCTGGAGGCGGAGGTGGGGGTGGGGGAGGGACCCAAGAGGAGGCACCCTGCTTTTGTCTAGGTGGGGGGCCTAATTGGGCCCCGCCCCGACTTCCTGGTCTCATCCACGCTGGCCAGACTCGCATCCCCAGGATCCATCCCCAAGCAGACCCAAGGGGATGATGGAGATGATGCGGCGTCATGAACCCCTTGGTCTACATGGCCCCTTTCATATATGAGGTCATTTATTCGATCCACGAGCATTATGTTTAACAACACTCGATGGACACGTGAGGAAATTGAGGCACAGGAAGGCGTCTTGTCCAAGGTCACTCAGAAATTGTCAGATTTGAAGCTAGGCAAGTGGGCTGCAGGGATCACCCCATAGGGCCTGGTCCAGAGGGGGGCTCCCAGAGGGCTGCAGGCCTCTCTGAGCCAGTGGGGAGCCCTCCTGGCCCCTTCCTTTGGGACTCCAAGACAAACCGGTGTTCAGGTTTGGGAGAACTCCCTGTAACCCCCCTGACCCTCTGCGACCTTAGGAGAGCAAGAGAACCTCTCAGAGCCTCAGCGGTATTCTGGTCCAAAGCACCTCCTGACATGAGCGTGACGTGTATGCAGACGTCTTCCCCACTGGGCTGTGGGCTGTCCTGGTCCCTCCAGCATCTCCAGTACACAGTAGGTGCTCAACAAATGTTTTACTATTATGTATTTATCTAGTGACGCTTCTTGCACACACACTGCATGCTGGGTGTCTTCTCAATAAATCATCTCGTTCATTCCTCATGGAAGCCCCCCCGAGGCTGCCCTCGATGGGACGCTTGAGGCGCAGAGAGGTCAAGGAGCTTACCTGAGGTCCCCGATGGATGGGAAGAAAGCATGAGCCCTCTTACCGCTGACTACTGAGCACCTTTTAGGTAGGCCCTACCCACTTTGTCCCATCCATGGCTCCCAGCAGTCTGGCGGGCTCAGACAGGGCATGTGGCTTCCCATTGGCCATGCGCACAGCATGAAGTGGGGATCAGACTTTGAACCTTACTCCTCAGGATACACTGGATCCTGGGCAACCTTCAGCCTCCCTGGCTTCTGTGGACATAATCCAGTTCTTCCAGGCCCCAGGCATCAGCCAGGGGCCGGCCGAGACCACAAACCTCCGAAGGCAGCTAGGCCTTCCTGCTAGTGGTTTTGCCCTGACCGGCTTTCCGGCTGAGCCACCGTCCCAGGCAAATCAGCCAGCACCTGCTCTCCACCAGCCCCTACCCCTGTGTCCTGCCCACCTGGGAAGATGGAGGCCTGCCTGACCAGGGTGGGGCTAAGTCCAGCCCCTCAGCTTGGTGCCCAGGCTCTGAGGACTCTTCTCACCTCCACACCAGCACTCATGCTGTGCCCACCCCCCATCCCCCGGCATGCCCTCCCTTGCCCGTGGCCTTGGCCAGACTGGACTCCTTTGCAATCTATTCCTTCAACAAACATTTATTGGACACCCACTGGATGCCAGGTCCTGGTCTGAGCAGTCAGAAAGACCAACTGACTCGCTACCTTCACACTAGCAGGGTCATAGAAGAACCAGGGCTGCAGAATGGAAGGTCCAGGTAGAGGCTGAGATTGCTGGGGGCACGGGGACTGAGTGAGGACCACGGGGAGGTGATTTGGGGGCCATAGAAGGACCATAGATAGATCTGGCAAAGCACATGGTGGCGGGGCGGTGGGGTGGGAAGGTTATACTAGGCAGAGGGGCCTGCTTGGGACAAAGGCCCTGAGGGAGGCCCCACCCCCGCAGGCCGGCTCAGCTGCCACCCAGGCTTGGGAGGACATGAATGGGTCTTTCATGCCCTGGACCAGGGCAAGGTCAGGCCGGGCTGCTCCCTTCCCCCCAGCCCTGGGCTCCTGACTGTCTGAGCCCTGACCTGGAGGGGGTGGCAGGAAGTTCACAGTTTGCCCTCGGGGGGGGGCTAGGGAGGCCCAGGGAGGGGAAGAGCCTCGCCCGAGGTCACCAGCGCCAGCAACACCCTCCTAATTGTATTAGTCTGAGCAAAGCCTGCCCCTCTAGGCCTCAGTTTCCCCTCCAGAGCAGCCAGGTTGAGCGCGCTGCGCTCCCGTCCTGCTCCGACCCTGGCGGAATCCAGTGCGGGTTTTGCCGGCGCCCGCGTCCGCCGACACCTTCTTCCCAGCGCGGCCGGGCTGCGGCCCCGGGTCCGAGGGGGCCTGGGGGGATCCGGAGGGGCCCTGGCGGCCTTGGGGGCCGCGGGATGGGCTGAGGCTGAGCCTGGCCTGGTGCCTGGCGCCTGCGGGGAAGGGAAACCCCGCCCGGCTGCCTGCGCGCCCCCTCTGAGCGCTCCCCGCCTCGGCGCCCTGCTGTGTGACTCCCGCGGGTCTCTGCCCCTCTCTGGGCCGCGCTGGAGCCGGGCCGGAGGGCGGCGTCTCAGAGAGGTCGCCTGGGTCCCGTTCCCTCCCTGGCGGGCCCCAGCCTGGTTTTCCCTAACCAGGTGCGGGCCCTCTTTTAAGCCCAGGTTAGGGGGTCGTCGCTGCCGGGTCGCGCCCCTAGTATCGGCTCGGGCCTGGGAATCCCCTGGGGGCTCGGAAAGGGCAGCTCCGATTGGCTGAGGTTGCATGTGACGTCAGGGCCTCCCCGACGCCCCCTCCCCCAGAGGCACGTGGGGGTGGCCGCGGCAGGGGAGGGGCCCGGGGTCCGGGCGGATTCGGGGTGTCCTCCCAGCCTGAGGCGGCAGCTGGGCAGCGCAGACGCGATTCTCCTCGGACAGATTTTTCCCTAGTCCCATATCCCCCTCCGGCCCCCCCAGAACGGCAGCTGCTCAGGCGGCAGATGCGCCGGCTAAATCCGCCCAGCTGGTCCCTCCGCCGAGCTAACCGCCTAGAACCCATTGTGGGTGGGTAGGGTGTGTGTGTGTGTGTGTGTGTGTGTGTGTGTCTGTGTGTGCGTCTGCGCGCGCGCGTGTGTGTCTGCGCGCGCGTGTGTGTGCACGGACGCGCGCCGGGGGGGGGCATGGCCCTGCCCCTGCCCTGCCCCTTGCCCTTTGACCCCTGCCTCCTCGCAGGGCGGGGTGGGGGGGGCTCCTCTTGTGGACCCTTCCCCAAGTTCAAATACCCTCCTGGAGCTCTTGAAGGATTTGGGAGACCTGGTGCCCAGAGAGGGTGTGGCCCTTTCCAAAGACCACACAACACCCCTGGGCCTGTGGTCCACGAAATGCCCCATGCCGGGCATGCATTAATAATTATAACTGTTTATCCAGGATTCTAAAGCACAGATACTATTATCCCGTTTTCAGGTGTGGAAACAGGCCCGGAGAGAAATGTCTTGCTAGCTCACATAGCCAGGGAATGGAGCTGGAATTTGAACCCCATGCTTTTAATAATTTCCAGGGGCTCAGGGACCCCTTAGCTTGGTAGGCTCTTAAGGCAAGTGACTTGGGGTCATTCACTTGAGTGGATGGGGTCTTGATGGCCACCCCCTGCCCTGTGTTTTGGGCCTCTCTGAGCCTGGCACAGACCCTTCCTCCTTCGCTTCTTCAGCCCCATTGGGTGCCACTCTCATCTGGAAGTACTGAGGATCCAGGGGGTCTTCCTGGAGGAAGAGGAGGTGGCTCCACTCTGAAATGTTGGGGGGTGTAGCTGTCAAGGGCTTGAGAGTGCTTCGAATATGTAGTTTTATACCCAGCCTGTCCTGCCTCCGGGCCTTTGCACTTGCAGTTCTCTCCATCTGGAATGTTGTCCCCACTGATTTCCAGCATGACCTACCCTCCACCCTTCAGGTCTCATGCAAATGTCACCTCCACAGTGGCAGCTGCGCCATCCCTCTCTGTCCTCTTACCCTGCTTTGGTTTTCTTCATTTTATTTGTCACAACCAAGTATTGTACATTGATCCCCCCACAGCACTGTTTTGTTTCCTGCTGAATCCCCATTGCCTAGAACACTGCCTAGCACCCAGTAGGTACTCCATAAATGCTTGTTATCCGGAGAGCTCAGAGATATGGGCACGAATAGAGGGCTGGAGGGCAGAGGGCAGCCATGGGGAAGGCGCATATGGTAGTTCAGTCTTGGTGTGTATATAGGAGCCTGGGCCATGACCCTGGTCTGTGCTCCCTGCATCCAAAAGTGCCCTCCCAGACTCCTCCTCCTTCTGCCCTTCCCCCACACCAACCTCCTCCCTCTTCCCTATTCCTCCAAAAGTCCTTCCTGCCTCAGGACCTTTGCACAGGCTGTGCCTACTGCCTGGTGGAGGGAGATACTCTTCCCCTAGATCTATGAATGGCTTTGTCCCTCACCTCGTCCCTCACCTACTCAGGTCTCAACTTAAATGTTCACCCCAACATGTCCCCATCTAAATAGTCACCACTCTTGGGGGACCTGGCTGGCTCAGCGGATAGAGCATGTGACTCTTGATCTGGGGGTTGTGAGTTCGAACCTCATGTTAGGTGTAGACATTACTTAAAAATAAATCAATAAAATAAAATGGAAACCCCACTGAAGGGGGAACCATAAAAAATAATCATTAAAAAACCACCACCCTTTTCTCTGTTGTGATTGCTTTGCTGTACTTTTTACTGATGGCATTTCTTTTTATCATTTATTTTATTC